TCGGAGTAACGCAAGAGATAAGAGAAATTGTGGCCTTGTATCTGTAAATATAGATGCAGATTCTTACCAAACGCTTGATAAATCTTGGATTTATTTGTTTTTCGACAATAAAGCTTTCTCCTTTTCTTTCGGATTGCTACCTGTTTTCATCCTCCTGTTTTCCTGGTCGGACATGTTTACAAATTCCCTTTACAAGCCCTTTAGGATACATGCTACAAACAAAAATGGATGCATGGATTAAGATATACATGTACTTTTGGACTTCTTTTGATTGTAAATAATACATATTACAAACTTTTGTATAGTTTTAAAAAGTTGTAGACTTTAAATTTTGTCCTGCATGCAATCACCCTTATATATCTATCATACAATATTTTATTGATTTATATGACATAATTAGAAAACGTTGATTGAAACATGAAGTTGTACGCAGCCAAATTTATTCATTTCTTACTCATGAAAAAGGTGAAGAACAATAATCGATCTCAAAACCTACAGACAATACAAATCTATGAATAGGGCATAAAACATGGAAATTCCAGATGTGGAATCAGGAGCCTAGGAGGAGCAAACACCACTGTCGCCCGGTCTCACCTGCCGCGAGGCCTATGAAAATCAGGTAGACTTAATATTCAGTAGTCAAATTTAGTATAGAAACAAAGGCCTTACAATTAATATGAAAAATGTCAGTCAAAAAAGACCCAATGATCGATTAAATTTGTTAACAAGCTAATTATAAGGACCATAGAATTTACAAAATGCTGACTTTCAACGGGGTTGTTGAACTCCCTGTAACATTAACTAACCTATCAGAAGCCTGCCTTGGTATAAAAGTTGATCGTACTCAGATCTGTTATTGAGTATCGAATAAGTTAGAAGACATAAAACTATATGCAGGTTAAAGCGTGATATTACTTAGTATGCAAAATGAAATCTGGCGATGGAAAAGCTAATTTCTTCTTTGTCACACAATTTAGTTGTCAGTTGAGACTCATTGTCTAAATTATTTTGTGGCAGCTATTTTCATGATGTATGAAAAAAGTCTGTTTAAACATCTGTTTTTTAAATGGAGGGAGCATGATTTTTATCGGTCTGCAAATAAGCTCTCGCTTCACTTACATCAAATCGAATGTTATTTAAATTGGTGGCGAATTTTCAAGGGACGCAGGATTATGCATACATTTTCAACTTAAGAAGGATATCTCTAAAGAGGGAGTGATAGTTTTTTTCTCATTTCTTTCAACTCACGAAATTAGAGAATGTTTTTTAAACATTTTTTAATATATATATATATATATATATATATATATATATATATATATATATATATATATATATATATATATATATATATATATCATAACACCCCCACCCCACCCCTGCTTGAATACGGCAGTATATAGTAATAGAGATACCTGTCCGTCCGTCTGTCCATTACACTTGGGGGTACCGATTTCTTATCTGCAACTCCCACACCACTGAAAAAAAACTAATGACTCTCATAAAAAATCTTTATTACATAGTGCTATTGTGCACCTCCTTTTTGTTTTGTTCGGATTCATATTTATGGTTTTCCGTAGCATAGGTGCACATTGCCATTCTTTTTATAATATTAGTGATATCTATCTTTTATCCGCAATTTCTCCTATTATCCTGAATTAAATTTGATGAGGCTTTCTGAGAATCTTTATTACGCAGTGCCATTGTGTACCTCCTATTAAACATTTTGATCGTACCGATATTTGGGCTTTCCCATAGCAAAATATGGAATTGGTCACTATACTCATATTTGAGCGAGGAGTATCATTTTATGACCCCAGTGCCCACAGTATACTTTTAGTTTTTTAATGTGGTAATAAATAGAGTATCAGGGTGGTGCGGGCATATATGGTGTAATCATATAGGGTACCAATTTTGATGCACCAGATGCGCATTTCGACAAATTATGTCTCTTCAGTGATGCTCAAGTCGAAAGTACCACTCTAAAAAGTGATATTTTAGAAACAACCATCTCGAAAGGGTCTGCAATTACATTTTTCCCGACTTGTTATAAGATTGAGTTGTTATATGAACCTGCATACGTGACAGACGAAATGATGAGAAACATGGCGAATAAGGAGTGCACAGATCTCGCTGGTAGGAATTTTATTGAATTACAGAGAACAGTCCCTGTAATGTCTTAAAGTTACACAATATAATTGATAATAAAAAAAATTGCGTCCTATTTGTCGCATATGTCAATAAAATTCTGATATTTTCAGTAAATTATTACGATGTATTCGGTGTTCCATTTCAGGTATTTGATAGGTTTCCTGTTAAATTTCCTGATTCTTCACACAGAGATCCTGAACATTGTGGTGTATTATGCAATACATACTATACAAGAACCCGAGTACCACGAAAGAGGCTTGCATAATAATGATGAGAGCCTATGTATTAATTCATTACTCCATTTAGTGCTTTCAGGCTATATTACACTGTATTCATATCAGTTGAGGCACTGTGACCAGAGTATTCACAAAGTAATTATCTATATGTATCAACAAATGAGGGGTTGAATTAACTCCATTATACATATAATAGCTTTGTAATTAACCTGAAAATTTAGTAAAAGAATTCGAAAATTATTTTCACAATACCATGTGCATGATTTACTATTAACCTTTGTTTCTTACAATGTTTCCTAGGTAGGTTCTCCAAAAATTATCTTTTATGATAGCTGTGAAGATTTTTTTAACCTAATCTCTGACTCCTTGCATATTGATGCCGTCCCCTCTTCTTTCTTAATAAACATATGTACATTTATAAGTAAGCTTTATGCTATAGAAAACAAAGTTAACAGACCATTTAATTTCGACCTAAAACGTCAAGACGAAGTGATTATTTCAAGAATACGTATTGGTCATTCAAAAATTATACATGCATACTTATTGAATCGGGAGTTTCAGCAACAGTGTATATCGTGACTGTCCGCTAACTATACATGCATAAATCATATTCCTTTGGTTCTCGCCTATTCGAAGTTGACTTTTTTTGTGATGTGAGAACGATGTATGAACTTCTTACAAATGTTAATACAATTTTAGAATATTTACATGAAACTGATTTTTAAAGTAAAATTTAGAAATTATTTGAGCAATCTTAATGAGAAATACGTAATTTTATTTTTTAACAGTTTACATATTTTTAAATTTTAAGTCAGTCGGGGATATTAAATGGTGCCAAGGTGTCAAGGATTCCACCCCCTTGGCACCTAAAAGATCGTTTCTATGGATTTCAAATAAGAGTAGGCTCACTGGGGGCCGAAGGAGAAACGGAAACGTTTCAAAAACCGGTCATATAAACTAAGTTATCTGCCGAAATATGGCTGAAATATTGCCGACTCGGCGTTAAACAATAAACAATCAATCATATATATATTGTGATATGAATTATATCCACATACAATATTTATAGATAAAAAATAAAGAAAATGAAAAAAAGCAAGAAGAGGTTAGTTCGAGACCTTGTCCAAGATGACTATGGATTTTTCTAACGTCGAATGTAAATCTATTCATTTTCGTAGAACAATTTGTTCATAGTTCAACTTCTATTAAAATTAAGCTTGAGAAAAAATAATATAATTTATTTTTCGGCTCAAATTATTTGGCGATATATATATATATATATATATATATATATATATATATATATATATATATATATATATATAATTATTTGAAGTGAAAGAACAAAAAAATTCCTCGTGAAAAAAGATCCATTTACCGTGAAGCTTTGGTAGGCGTGATTCACGCATGTATCTACAAAGTTCATTGAGTGTCCTTAAATTAATTACAGTTTTTGCATACCATGAACCTATTCTCTGTTACAGAAATACATAAAATATTTGTTTTCATTGGACGAATAAAGCGAATGATTTTTATAAGAAAATCACTTCATGTTGACAAAATTCTTCCTCTGATTTTTATTACTTTGAAGAAGATACAACCAACGTTTCCTCTCTAATGACTTTTTTTTCGTCCTTAAATATTTTATCTTTGTTAATCTTGGAAGATTTCGTATATAGCACTCAACTAGCTTTTTCTGTAATCATTTCAAAAGATCCGTACTTGAGAACTAATTCGCACTTAGTAAAATATGTATATCCTGTTTGTCTGATGTCGAGTATCTTTGTGATAATTTTAGACGTCAGTAAGAGATTAACTTAATATCTTCTTCGCATTATGTGGATTTTCTTTGAAATTAATATCAATAACCAAGGTTTAATCAAGACCAGAATAAAGAAAGCTCCTTGTATGCTTGTTTGAAGAGAGGTTTTTTCTCAGGTACTTTCTAATGTATGATCAATACAAATAATATGTAAGTTTAAAATTAACCAAATTTCTCCGGAATTTGTTGCTAGTTTATAATTTATTTAATGTTATTTCCCCCCCTCTTTTGTTTGTTGACAGAAAAGCAATGTTTACGTCCGTTATATTATTTTTCATAGCGCTGCAAGTACATGTATAGTAGTGATTGAGATATACACTACTCGAAATTATAGAAATTGATAGAAAGAATATTGGTATGTGATTGGTATTGAAACTTTCTAGTTTAAATTATATAAATGTATCATTTCAAATGAGTTCGATCTTCAACAGTTTCATACTTACTTCCCACATACGATGATCACTATAAAACAATAAAATTTCGCATATTAAATACGCTCTGTTTGCAATCGGTTTTAATATATTTGAAATCGATTTACATGTAAAAGTGGAGTACAACTGCAGCGTCGTCAAGGTATCGACCGAAGGGCGGTACTTAAATAGCACTCAGTGGTGTTTCAGAGACAAAAGGGTGACAAGTGCCACCACCCTCAGTGCCGTTATTGCTAATTTGTGGGGAAGAAAAAACGGAGCAAAACAGTAAAGAAGAACGATCAGTTGGATAGAGAACATTTGATCTAACTAAGACAAGATTCCTGAAATTATATTTCATACGTTCAATTTATCCCGTTTATACTCGTGGACAGAGAGGTGAACTACAGCTGGGAGCTAATGTCGATAGATGTATCGAGTAGTTAGTGAGATGTGTGTTTCTTATCCTATCTAATGACCACCACATTATCATATTGCTGGCACGGCTTACAGGGTGATACACACTTTGACTACTCAGATGCAGTGTTTTAACAACGTTCACAAGTTACATTTTATCATTTACAAGCACTCCGTCATAAGAGTTTACTGAATACAGCTGGTACTCTTTTCTTTCAACAGGTAAGTTTGAATTATTTCACATTATTTAAAAAAAATATACATATAATATACTGGCATCGTGACAAGACTTTCTAAAAGTAAAATGTTCTCTAGTCGGATTTTGCAATATTTTCCCTTTAACGTATCATGCAGCCATGTACAGGGGAAAAAAGTTCAATCTAATAGGTTTGTGAGAATGCTATTCTTGTTTAGATATATAAATCACATTTTAGATAGTACTATGTCGTTTATATAACATTCATTTTATGTTTCTTTAATTCCGTTATTTAAGTCGTAATAGTATTAGATACCTGTAACTAAGTGAGAGTAGAATAAAAAAAAAAAACAGGTAGAATATGGGAAGGTCGTTAATAAAAACAATCGGTGAATTGCTTGTAGGCAAGGTTAATATCCACATAATAAACCAATAATCATCATCGATCAAAGAACTTTGCAATTAACACGAAGTACTTTACCAATGATGTTTCCTGTCACCAAAGTCCACATTCAAAGCTTCTATGTCTTAATCTAAAATGGTAAAGAGTTGTGCGCTCCAAGGAATGTATATGTACTGCTTTGCACATTGGAACTAATTGGTGATTTTGCAATATGAAAATTTTCCATGGCTCAGTTGTAGGTAAATGTCAGTGCAATAAAAAAATATTTTCTTGGGAAACTGTGGCTTAAGTATTGGGCGTAAGCAAGTGGTATGTTGTAAATCTCACAACAGTTTAACTCGGAGGTAAATTAAATTCCAGATGTTCTGTTCTGTCTTTACTAGTCAAAAAAAGACTCCTTACTATTTTCGCGTTCAAAATTTTAGCGGATACTTAGCGCTAACGTAAATAAATCGTTGTTTAAGATCAAAAATGGCAAACATAGAAACCATGCATCGTACAATGGATAGTTATAAATTAAGCTGGTGTTGTTTTCTCCATTTCTTTAAATTAAATGATTACTTACACAGTGGTATGTTTTCAGTTAGTCTTACCTACTTATAAGGTATGTACACCTAAATATGTGTAGTAAAACACAATTATAGAGAACCTGCATATAATGAATTGACGTTTTCAGCGAAGTGATTGGCACTTTGCTATAATCGTGTTTTACTTTATGTAAAGGCTACCTGTGTTAATTCCGAAGAGTGCTAGCATGTCCTGGCTTGCTTTGCCGCTACGATCTTGAACACAGCCCAGAAAACCAGCTGTGCTGCTCTTAAAACGGTTTATTTATTGCTCCTGATCACTTTTTATAACTGGCCACTTTAATGTTACAAAGGAGAAATTAAGGAAAAGATGTCACTACCTCCCCTTTCCTTTAAATAAATGGAGCCTATGCCCCTACAGAAAAATTGAGATTATTTAATCAACCCTCTTTAAGGTATTTAAATTAGTAAATTGGTATGTTATTTCGGGGAAAAGTTTTGATAGTATTCATCCAAACGCTGTCTGGCGCTGAATTCCAATTACAAGATAAGTTTATGTAACAAACTGAAAAGGTTCTGTCTCACAGCAGTTAGACGAGACCGTTGTTCAGTGTGACTGTCGTGGGGAAAGCCAGCCACTTTACAAAATAAGTGGGTTTTTTTTTCTTCTCAAGAATTACTTTACATACATGATATTCCAAAATACATTTTGGTCATTCAGATATATTTAAACAACAAATGATCTGATACCAAACAACAAAATATTTATTAATAAAACACTTATTAAACAGCTTCTGTATTTAGTTTCTTATGCTTACATAAAAAGAGGAATAGTGATGAAATTGTTTGACTCCATACAGAACCTTGGATCAAAAGACTAAATGATGACTCTAATATTTATGCTTCTGTACTCAGAAATTGTTGACTAGAACACGTATACGATACAAAAAGCGATGAAAATAAATGACACAAAAACAACATTGTTATAATTAAAGATAAAACTTTTAAACTGTCCATTAGACTGAAATCAGATTGATTTAAGTCACTGTTGGTGTTAAAATTGAAAACAAACGATAATTAATTATGTACTTTTTCGATGATTTTTAAGTTAGTTGAAAAAAAAAATCTTCAAAAGAGAAATAAAAAAATAGATTTGGCATTTCATGGAGTTCGAGATTCAGCTACATCCGAAATGAAATGAAAAAGTATGACATAAAAATGTACACGAGAATTATTAAAGTATACGTCTTTTGTTCAGCACTCAAGTGTGTAACCTTATTATTTTCAAATAAACTAGTACCACAATGTGGCATGGTTTGATTTTTTTTTTAGAGTACTGTCGACACAAAAAAATTATCTTTTTTTACCACTAATTTTTTTTCTACAGTTTCCTTCATAAATAAATATGATTTGAACGAAATTTCTGAATTAGTGTTTGTTTCGATATTGCATTACTTAATGAAGCTGAAAAACAGCATCTTCTGATCCACCACCTTATTATTATCCTCGGACAATAAACGAAGACGTTCGAGACATGTAGCAGATGACAGTATAAGCCTAAGATACTAAACTATCAAATCTTATAAGTCAGTAAATATATACACAGTTCGCTTATCTATTCAACTAAAGCGTGTACATGTTAAGTATTTTTTAGTACTAAAAGTTGAGGATTTATCATATAGAAAATTCTTAAGGGCGATGAAGGTATTTTTCTATGTACTCCCCTCGCACGAATTCACCACTGAATCTTTATCGCTCATTGGTAGATAATAAATAATTTTTTTTTCTTGATTAATAATGACTCAAGAAATTAACTTGACCAAAATTCAAACAGCGGATCTGTGGGGGGGAAACATACATGAGATAATTCAGAGCAAAAAATCTGCCACCTTTCTTAATTTTTTTTTTGTTTAATTTACACAAAATCAAAATAGATCACTGCATTCAATGGTTTTACTAGGATCATTTTTTTCTTCCATGCACCAGGGTATATCTTTTCTCATAAATCTCTGGATACCGGGGGGGGGGGGGGGGGATTGTACAGACAGACATACACATGTAGATGAAAACTAATCAACAAACAGGATGGATATCAAAATAAAGAAATGCTTGATCATTTGGTTGTACATGTATGTTTATTTGTCTTCATTATGTGAGATTATGTTCCTGAGTGTTTAAGCAGTAAGGAACATTATTCCGAGAAATTCTATATTTATAATTATATAAAAACACACTTCAGGAGGAGTCTGTTAAGGATTTCCTCTCTGTCTGTCAGTCTGTCACACTTCGATTTGCAAGAGCTTGCAGATAATGAGCTTATTTAAATATGTAAGTCTATCTTCACAAGATACAAATCAAGTTTTCATGTCGTTCCTTTTTCGTTGATTTTTGACGGAAATAAGATTTTATGATTAAAATCCGGGTAGGAGAGGGGCATTTATTAATATGTAATACTCGCAGAATGCTTATTATAGGGCACATGTTGATGTTAGAGTAAAAGGTAATCGCCAGCACAGATATACGGATGATGACGGACCATGAAAATAATGAATAATTTTTTTGTTTGTTGTTAAACGTCCCTTGTAGATAAGAATACAATATTCTGTATTCAGATCAAATATATTTTCACTAATCACCTTCTCGACAAAATTTGGATTGTGAAACAGTACAATTGCCCTTGTGAGCGTATAAAATTCAGTTCATTACAATATGATTTTCTTAAATACATTTGTTGCTTCTTCCAAAATGCATCTTGTAGGTTACTGCAAAATAGTTAGGTAGAATGTTGAAAATCTATTCAGTCACAAAATATAGCAAAAGATAATCGACATTATTAGAGTCAAAGTGTATAATCAGAAGACATCTTCGACATCTTCTCGCGCTGTTTGAAAGAAAGCCGCTATCAGCTGGAAAAAATCGAGACATCATTAAGTATTTAGAGAAGAAATTAAAGCCCCGGAAAGTAATTACACGAGATTGGAGGATATGTTGTGACTTAGCTGGAGAAGACAACGCCAAAACCCTGAGAAAGCTCAAACTGAGTGACATCTGATTTCCAGGTAGAATTAGGCAGAAGCCCTACGAAGATTGATTAAAGTGCTTTAATACAATTTGTCTCCCCTTTTTTAATATCGGAAATATCCAAGCGAATGACAAACAACGACGTGAACCTCGGCATTTCTTTATTGGAGTTTTCTATCCGGCATCAGTAATTCTGCCGAAAACTTTTCCGGTGCTTTATAATTTAGAAGTTCAACAAGTTAATCCTTCGAAGTAAATCCCTAGCAATATTTAGATACCGAAAATGATGCCCATAGAATGCAGTTTAATACGATATTTTTATGTAGTAAGTAATTGGCTCTGAAGTTCTACATTATATACTTACTTTATTAAATCAAAAATTAAATATAACATTGCTGATTCTTCCAATGATCGATTTAGAGTCACCTAATGTAGACTTCATGGTTTCTTTCTGGTTTACATCAAAGGAAATATATTATAATGATAGATGACATTATTTTCCCCATTACTAAATAATTGTTGCAAACCATGGATATTTTATTAAATATAATAAAGATGGCACAGCAGTAAGCGAGTTAACCAATACAGTCATAGCATATTCCACAATGGATCAAGGTAAATGATGATGATTGATTTATAAACAAGTAAGAGAATAAACATAGATTAAATTATCAGATAGAGAATAAAATCAATCCATGCTGGTTCCTCGGTATCTTGTTTCATGGACGAGTGAACTGGAAAATTGAAGTACATTCTGTCCACATCCAAGTGAAATGTCGAGCGTTTTACGTTAAATTCATCTTCGCAACGATAGAAAACAAGTGTTGTCTCAGAATATATTCTTGTGATATCAGTCGTCATGGAAACAGTCTTAAAACACAATTTGCTGGCTTTTTCTGTTTTTTTTTCTTTATTTGTTTACTGACGGGAAAATGTCTTTAGCAGGCATCACGTTCATTTAAGTCGTCTTATGGACACTTTCAATACGGAGATATAAAGTGATTTAGATGCGCGTATTCTGTTATCTGAAATGAAATCAATTCTAATCACAATAGTCTTAATCTGCTCAAATACC